ACCAGTCGAACAGGCGCAGAAGTAGGAGCCCGAAGCATTTGTCAGTTGAAAGTTGCGGGAAAACCCTGACCTAGAGAGCATGAGCCGGCATGATGACCGGACGCACGCGGCCCGTCTCGACGGCGTTGTGTCACTGCCAGGCGAGCATGGCAGGAGCAGCGTCTTGTCTCGCGGGAAGGGCTGTCGGTCCCCTAAGCATGTACGCTGCTGCCCTCTGGTGATCTGTGGCAACCATCGACATCTCTATGTACGGAGTTATTGGTGTAAGGTGCGGATTAAAGATACCTCCTTGAGTATAGAGTACGTACAGAAGTACCCCGGGTTGTACCCAAGCACTGACCAAATGTTCAGACCAAAGTATCGAAACGTTTCGGTACCTTTCATTCCCCAGCTGGTCTTACACCACGGATGGAAACACACACACACACACACAATTACACGAGAAACCGACAACTTCCCACACCTCACACTTGCCCAATCCATTCATCTCTCGCCGAGTATCTGGACAGACACGGCCTGTGTCTTGTCTGGCAAACAAAAGCCTACCACGCCCAACCTCCAAATGTCTCGGCTCAATTCACCCGCTTCGGCCATGTCAGCTGCGCCACATGCAATGGTCATCCTACCGGCCCGCTTCCGCTGACTGAGGGGCTTGGATGCATTCGTCGACAGTCGTTGCCAGCAGCAGAGGAGGGGGGGAACAAGGGACCATGGGGACCATCCCATTTCGAAAGACGAGACAAACTCTCACCCAGTCCTTGACCCTCCATCTCAGCCCTATGCGCCAGAGAGCTCGAAGCATGGCCCTGGGTGGCCAGGAAAGCCTCCACTGCCCTTCCCTGAACCTACTGACCCAAGGGCTTGATCAGGGCGGCCTCCTCTTGAGCCGGGAGCCCCCATGTATCGAATTGCGTCTTGGGAATCTGCCTCAAGAGTGCCTACATATCGCCTGCCTTAGCGCCGCTGCTCAGCCATCGTCCATCCAAAGTCACGCTCTGGTTCTTGAGATACTGCAGAAAGAAGCCACACCGACCCATGATTGACTGCACCAATGCCTTCCCACGATGACGTTCGCTGCATCTACATACCTTCTTTGCGTCTTCTTCAGCCCTACCATCCATGATCACCTACCGCGTCAACACCATCATGGACTAATCAGAGGCCACCGCCTACTCCACGCCGGTTCCCAGACTCCCGCTTCTGCAGGGCAATCACCAACTTCGACAGACATCAGCCACCCAATCCACTCAGGTCTCTAGAGTCTGAGACGCGAGGCTCCGTCTAATTCTCTCCCTTCCTCTAAGAGGAACAACCGATTGGTGTCCCGTGTTCCTCGTACGCACGGCGGCGCCTCTGCGGAAGCTTTTGCCTTTTCCTGTGGTACAGAGCGGGACGCGGAGGTGTCAACTGCGACCACGGACCCGAATCTCACGGACGTGCTACCGGTTCCGGAGATGTGGTTCGACCCAAAGCCCTCGACATCGAATCTGAGACCTCTGCGAACCGGTGGTGTTCCGGAGTGAGACTCTCTCATGGCTCCGAGGAGCAGTCAGCTAGTGGACCTCGGCAGTGATTTGGATTTCTTCATGCTATTCCAAATCGACTACGAATGAAAGGCGCTGTGTGCCAAGGACCCAGGAGAGCGGCTGATGTGACGATATCTTGCGATTGGAATCTGCGATAGCCAGCTCGACGCAGGGACATTGCAGAACCTCCCTACGATAGTGTGAGCCAGATCGATTGGGAAGTGTTTCCCGTCGTAGACTTTGGAGGCTCCATCTCTGCACGTCACCAAGCATTAATGTCTCTCGGACATGTCCGCTGGCGATACCCATTATCGTGGGGTAGGGACGTCTCGGTATGGGACCCCCCATTTCTCTACCCGTGCATCGTGGCCTTATGCACAACGACCAGCGGCCTATTGATGCTCCATTCAAACCTGTAAGGTACCAATCCTCTATCGCGAGCTCCGGTGACAGAGGGGGTTCAAGCGCCATAGCATAACGCCTCGCGAGATGCCTTGTCTGGCCTGCCTTCACTGCGAAATTTGGGGGGCCGTTGGACCAATCCCACGCGATAGGCCAATGCAGCTAAGCTGCATGTCAGAAAGGAAGCGAGAGCATCGCTGGTACGGATTCCATCATGGACCTCAAAAGTTCCACTCGATGGCAGGCTGTGCTTATGGCCACCAGGGTCTGCCACGCTGGTGCGCACAAGCTTGACTCTATTGACCACTGAGCCGGCCATCCAAACCTCCCTCGGGCCTTTTCCTGGCCTTCGGTACGTTGGCTATGATTTCATACGACGGCACGATACCCAAGTTCCTGGATACTCCGAGACACTTTGACTGATAGGCATGTCCATCGTGGAGTACCCCACGCGGTTGATCGCCTGCATCCACTGGTCCAAGCTGACCACATTTGGGTATCCGTATCAGTACATCACAAGTAGAGTGTCAGAAACGTCGGATTGTCTGAGCATCGGTCACTGCCAGCACCGCCTACTCCCTTGCCTCCCTCCGCCTTATGGGGCTGTCCTGAGGACAAATTCAAGATCCATGGGGAAACTAGTTGAGGATCGGTCGATTATGCCTAGAACACCCTCCCTGGCTCAAGAGACTCCAGGCCTCGGCACGCCGTTTCCGCTGCGTCATTTGCTTTACGGACTCACCCGAGATACGTCCCAGGCTTCCGGGTACGGGAACTAAACTTCCTGGTCTCCACACCGGTTACGGTGTCACTGGTGTCGCCTTCCAGGGGCCCGTGATGACTACAGTCGTCACACCGGCTCTCTCGGCCGCTGGCATCCGACCGCCCTCGTACCGCTTCCCTCACACGACACAACAGGAAAGATAGCTTTTTCCTGATGCCCCAGTCCCGATGGATAAAACGCTCTTGCACTTGTGGCGCTCACCCATTGATCGCTAAACGAGCTTTCCTTTGCTGTTTGCACGTACAAGAGGTTCGCGTCACCTGTAACATCTAGAATGAGTCTCTGGTCCGGTTTGGTGAGTTCCCGATGACCAGGTTCAACAGCACGATCGACACCATGCCTTTTTTTTCTTGCGTAACTGAAATTGTGCTGGCATCGTGGGTTTGATGGAAGGCTGATGCTATTGAAGTAGAATAGGACATATGGGTTAGGGACTTTGCTGTGCCGCATGACCGCAGACCCGGGGCAAGGATGCGCACTTTTATGCCTTTTTTCTGCTCCCTGGAAGACACACACCCGTCGCCTCTTTTGAGCATCGCTGAGAGTCGTTAATTGCATTCGACCACGAAGACATCCACTTGGTTATGACTACCAATACCATGGGTGATTCTTGGGAATACTCGAATCGAGGCAAGCCCGAGCCGGATCCAGTCGTTTATACCTCTCATTCTCCTACGCCACGAAAACGTTATGGATGCGCTCGAATTGTTCCGCTGGCCTGAATGGAAGGGAACCCCCCCTGAATGGACACGCCAGCAAGCTTGGCTGCAGCTATTCTGCGCCTTGGACCAGCCGCCCTTTTCGAAACAATGCAGTCTGCGCCTCAGAGATATGGGATGGGGCGACTGGGAGCTGGTTCATCTACCCATAGCCATTGGACCGCTGGATGAGACAACCGGTTGGTCCTGTCTCTTTCACCCTTGGCCCGCGGGGGGGTTGATTTGACTGTTTAACTGGTCCGATGTAGATAAGGTACCTTTGATCAATGGAACAATCATTATGCAGAGGCAGCGGCGCGGAGCGGATGCGCGGCGGGTGTTTGCCCCCTTCTCCGGCTCCCCCGGGAGATCTTTTGGTCTGCTCGGCTTTCTATGCTGTGTCAAAGGGGGTAAACTGCGGATTGTGTTTTGAGGAAATAAGTTGGGGATTAAAGTGTATTTCCTTTGGTGATGGCTCTTTTCCGCATGATGTATCCGTACGGCAAGGTTTATCGTGCCAGTGTGTGGTAGCATTCAACCCGCAGCCTCTCCCTCAAGGCTCGTCTTTGGATATCCCGCGTCGTGAAGTCTTCCGTCATAGTTCTCATTTGCATTCTGTAGTTGTATGGCCAGCCACTCCTCGCAGTGACTACAGAGATGACGTCAGAGAGAAAAGGAATAAACTAGACGGTGAGAACTTCCCTATCAATGTGCAGTTGAACCCATTATCTCGTACATTGACATAAACCAGAGTGAGGCACTCGAAATCTCTGCATAAGCCCCCTATCGCCTCTTAAGGACCATACAATCCATGTTGTATACCTGTCTGAGTATCATGCAACTCAAAGCATCTACGACTTGATAATCCACACCGTCTCCAGTGACGAGAAGAAATACAGACACCACGATTCATGATCAACCCTCCTCATCAACCAGGTCCACGGCCCGTATTCAACGGATAGGAGCTGTTTTAGTGCTACTAAGCCATCACTACCGCCCCCCAATATACAGTCCACGTAGGCGCGTTCCTTCTATCATACCCTGTGAGGTTGGAGGGTCCTATCAAAGGCGGACGAGAAAGTACACTACTGGATTGAAAGGTATATAGTGCGGCCCCTTTTTTCCATTAACGCCGAACCTTTGACACGTATAGAAGGCTGTCAAATAATACTTAGCGTCTCAATCCTTGTCTTTCTTTCCTTTTCTCATTCTACCTAGATGATCTCGTGCTGGTTTCAACTTAAGATAGCCTAGGAGCATAGGCCCGTGGGCTGCTAGCAATATGATGTTTGATTTCTCTTGATAGACCTCCAGAGGTCTTAGTCCCGACTCTCGGAAACCGTTCGTTTCTTGAAAAAGAGCCGATTCAAGCTTGGAGAGGATGGTGGACGCCCATCTTCCGTAATGGTCACTTTCAGCCGCCGAGTGGTTATGCTTATTACTCATCACTGACGTGATCAGGGTTGATACTGTCTGCATCAAACGGTCGATGTCATATCATGGACCAGACACAAGGAGGCAGCCATGGTAGCATTCACTAGGGCAAATATTGAAACGACACGATGGACCGCAAGAGAGGCAAACCGCAGCTCAAAAGGTCAGCTGGGTGTATCTCAACCCATTCTCATTCTGGTATCATTTCTAATAAACACATGATCGAAATCTTCCCGCTATGACACGCGCTCCAAACAAAGGCCAGAGCACGCGACTCGCTCTTTCGCTACTCCTACAAGGGAGGCAACTCCTCTCGACAAATAGGACACTGCAACCTGAACCGCATCCAACCCTCCAAACACGCGCTGTGGAAGATGTGCCGGCACGGCGTAACCATGTAATTCCTCCTCGTAAACACGCCAACGACCCCTCCGGCCGTCGGGTCCTCCTCGCCCGCCCGCATGACGGGCACCTCAAGCACCTCACGACAAATGGCGCAGTCGATGGCGCGCAGGTTACTCCCGCCGCCACTCTTCTTATCCCTGACGTCCTCGCCGCCGCCCGACCCGGACCTCGCCCTCTCCAGAGACGGCGACCCGGGCTCCGAAAGCAGACCAATCGGCAGCCCACCAGCCTCGACGCCGTCCTCGCGCAGGATCGGGTGGTAATCCCACGCGTCGGGCGTCCAGCTCTTTGGTATGCCGAAACGCGGGCCGAGCACGTACTGGAACGCGAGGACCCAGAGCTGGATCCATAGCCACGCGCAAAAGGCGAGGAACGCGCGCCGATCCGTCTCGGCGAAGAGGAAGTTGTTCTCGTAGACGTAAAAGTAGGCAAAGGGGAGCAGTCGCAGGACGGACTGGCCGATGACAAATTGCCACGTCAGCGCGCGGCGGCAGTTACGGAGGATGTTGCGGTGGATCTGGGGCACCCAGAAGGAAAAGTAGACGAGGGCCACGCTGTTGACGAAGAAGTTCCGCACGCGCGGGTACCAGGACGTGGAGGCGATGGAGACAAGGAGGATGAGGGATACGGTCATGGCGAAGCGGAATATGACCGACTGGAACGTGACCTCGGGCCCGATACGATGGCCGCCGCCGGTGCCCGCTGTCGGCACGGCTGCCGCACCGCTCGCGGCGTCCGCAATCTCCGCGTCGATATCCTGATCCGAGGGGATGATGATCGGAGGCGAGGGTGCTCTCCTGCGAGGCCCCGCGGTGACGGGCCGCGGCAAAGAGTCCGCTTCGAGATCTTGCGGGGGAGTGGCCGGTGTATGCGGCGAGTCATTGTTGGTGTTTTGCTGCTCCCTCTCGGCACGCCTCCTGTTCTCAGGCTCCTGCACTTTGTGAATTTCCGCCAAAAAGAAGCCGCCAAGGGACATGGACAGAAACGCCGAAAACAAAAGCGAAAGCGACTCTAGGTACGTGATGCTGGCATCCAAAGCCCACATGGACGCCGCGGCGAAAATGCCACCGTCCACCATGGCCATCATACTTATGGTCGAGTAGCTGATACGACCCATCGTCGAAGGTGTGGCTGATTCCTTCATCTGTTGCTTGAGAAGGAGGGCCTGTGTGAGGATCACCATCGCGAAGAGGAGGATCCATACCCGAATCTTGTGGTAAATGATCTCCGTCTTCATGCCTTGGAGGTGTTGCCCATCGACGGGCGCGAAATCCGGCGGTCCCTTGGTTTCGAGAAAGAATGCGCAGTCGGGCGACCAAAGGACGGCTGAGAGCTGGAGCTCTGGGACGCCGCGAATGGGTGCGCCCTCTGGGAATCGTAATTCTTGCTCAATGTCGCTGATGATCCTCGCCATGCCCTCCCTCGTCGGATGAAAGCCCTTCATGTCTAGAAAGTTCCTGTCCGGTGGATGTACTTGGGCATACATGATGTACTCGCAATGTGGCGTTGGATTGAGCGTATCCGGTGGATTCGAGAGATCCGACGTCCACGGCATCACGCCGTCGTTGAACACTTCCTTCTCCTTCCTACGCAGCACTTCCGCGAGAGTCAGGTTGAGCAGCCGCTGGCTCGACTGGAAGAAGTCCAAGCTGGGCGCCAGATGCGGCAGACCAAAAATGCCGTCAAACTTCTCGCTGGTCGTCGTCAATAGAATGGTCCCTTGACGAGGCCACTGGACGCCGTGAAGCCTCATTTCCCAGTTGACGCCGCTGCCCTTGACATCCTCGATAGTGATAGAGGCCTTCGCGCTGCGCACCTTACCGCCGGACGAGGGGCCCTCATCGTCCTCTACGTCGCTGCGGTAGTCCAGCTCCCTCCCGTGCTTACCGGTGTCGACGAGGTCCATCAAGATCTTGCCCTCGTCTCCCGTGATGTTCCTGGCCCACTCCGACTGCGTGCCGCTCCAATGCAGGCTCGGCGTGATGGCGCTTAGGTTGTAGTTCGTCCACTCCCTTCTCGACGTCGCTTCCCTCCGGATCCAGGTCCCCTTGACCGCGCCCGTGGCGTTCTGCCACACGGGCTCTCCTTCTCCAATGTCCCATAGGTTCACCCCGCCGACGGGCGGTATCGCGTTGTGACTCCATTCCAAGCAGCGTTCCCGAAAGCGCTCGAGATCGTCCCAGGCGAACCCGTCTTTGGGACGGAAGCCCGTTAGGTTAAGCGACCTAGGTAGCAGGCCTTCGGACGTGCCATTCTCGCGCGGTGTGAAGTCGCCGTAAGCCGAGGTGTTTAGGAGGTCGAGAGCGTGCTGGTGCCGCCGTAGGCGCTGGATCGCTAGGTCTGAGGCAGAGAACAAAGACGCGCCGCCATTGCCGGGAGAGAGGAGAATCCAGAAGACGCCGATGAAGGCGAGGGCGAGGAAGACGAGGCGCGGGTCTCGGTATGAACTGGGCATGGTGTGCGGCGTGCCTTGGGCCGCTTAACTCGGGGCCATCGCTCTGCTGCACTGGCCGGCGGGTTGTCGGTTGTTGCAGGAAGCTTCGTTAGTCGGAAAGGCAGACGTAAAGAATGCTTCTGGTGTGGCGATTGGGGAGGGTGACGATGTACGGATGAACTGAACACTGTAGGCCGAAAGTAACTTTGAAGACGGATGACGGCATCAGCCAAGTTGCTGAAAGCGGACCGTTTGACGGCGCGACGGATACCGGAGCCCGGGGGACGCTCCAGTCGTCTTATCGCCTTAGGCAGGCCCCACAGGTACCCGTCCCCTGGTGCTAGCGCTGCACGCCAGCAGACACCTTCCAGAGCTGGCCTCCGCGTGCGCATTTTGGCCCCTCCACATTGCATGTTTACTGGAACCAACAGGCGCAAACACATTGAACCCCGCCAAACCTGGACCGCTTCATCTTTCATAACTCCCACAGCCAGGCGACATCAAGACTCACAACCCCGCCGACGGTATCTCAAACATAACCAGGTCGATTAAGACAAGAACATTGTAGTTTTCACACACCAGCTCTGCCTTTGCCGACTGAAAGGCTCTCTCGCCGATAAAACAATGGCCTCCAACAACCCCGACTCGAGCGCAAACCAGTCTGCGGTCAGTTACTTCACCTCAGGCTTTGCAAGTGGAAACATCGCCTAGTCTTTGGTGCACCGGAGGCGGCGGACGAAGTCGTTGGGCTCTAGTCTTCTCTCTGAAAACTAACTTTTAGAATCTCACAGGTCTCGGAGGATCCCAAGACCGACGTCAACGCAGCCGTCGAAGAACTCCTGAACACAATCTCTAACAAGTTCGCGGGTGTCTCAAGTGAGATTTTCGCAAAGAGTAAGTCTAGAAAGTCCCGAGGAGGACTACTTGATGTCTCTACTACATACTAAAGCTATACAGTGGACGAAATGTCTCGCCGCCTGGACAACCTTGAAGCCGCTCTTCTAGCTAACAAGGAGAAGGACGCCGGCCCGTCCAAGTCTTGATTCAAGTCTTGACATATTTCACGAGGCAGGTGGTTTGCATGCCGATGGCGTTAGGGTTCATAGTACAACCTCACAGGAGCTGAATATGATGGTCGAGTTCCATGGGCAGACTTGAGTTATACTTGTTATTGTTATTCATCATCGTCGGTATCCTAGACTACCAATCCCAACTGGAGCTAAACACGCTCAGTTGCATGTTGCTTGCTTTTCAACCTCCTAGGACCTTCCCAAACCCATACTTCAAGATGCGTCTGAAAACTTGCTGATAGAGTTCACTACAACTCCTCCTTCTCACCGGTGACCTTCTCGAGGAACTTGCGGAGAATGTTGGTCTTGCTGGTGATCTCGTCACGCTTAGCAGGGGCCAGGCCACCCTTGGACAGGATGCCGTCGAGGCGCTTAAGCTCCTTCTGGGCGTAGCCGTCGCTCTTACTGAGCTTGTCAAAGACGCGGACGTAGTACTCGGCGTACTTGTACTGGGCCTTCTCCTTGAGGGTCTCGGCCTGCTTCTTGGCCTCGGCGGCAGCGTCGGAGATGCTGGTGCCGCCAGTGTACTTGGCGACAATCTCGTCGAGGGAAGCAATGGTACCGGCGATAGCGTTAAGGGCGCCGCCGGGGCTGCGGTTGGTGCCGGCCTTCTCGTTGATGAAGTTGACAAAGTCGTCCTCGCTGCGGCCACCGGTGTAGAGCTCGCCCTCCTTGGAGCCCTTGGGGAAGAACTTGATGGTGGGGTAGGAAGAAACGCCCTGGGCGGCGGCAGTGCCCTTGCTGTTCTCGGCCTCGGCATCAACCTTGGCGATCACGACACCCTCGTCGAGGACAAAGTCCTGGGCAACAGTCTCCCAGATGGGGGCGAGGGTCTTGCAGTCTGTTGAAGGAGTTCAGGTCAGCATTGTTGGTCAAGAGCAAAGGGAATTGCAGAATTGAGACTTACGTCCGCACCAAGGAGCAGTGAAGGCAATAAGAACGTCCTTGTCGCCGCCAATGGTGGTCTTGAAGGACTCATCGGTGAGCATGTTGACGGCGCTGGGCGGGGTGTACTTCTTCTTGGGCTTGGCACTAGTCTTCTCCGTGATGAAGGTGCTCAGGGCCTCAAGATCACGACCTCCCTTATAGTCGGTAGGCTGGTCGCTCTTGCCGTCGAACCACTTGAGAGTAGGGAATCCCTGAATCCCGAATCTCTTGCCCAGGTCTCTCTCGGCGTCGGCGTCCACTTTGGCAATCTGGACATCCTTGGAGGACTCGAAAGCGGTGGCGAGCTCCTCGTAGATGGGAGCAAGGTTCTTGCAGTGGCCGCACCAGGGAGCGAAGAACTCGACGAGAGTAGGCTTGCCAGACTTGAGGACGACGTCGTCAAAGTTGGAGGGAATGAGGTCAAGCACGGCAGACTTGGCGGCAACGGTAGCTGCCAGAGCGCCGAGCACGAAGCTCTTGAGGACGACCATTGTTGCTTGATCGGATCGGACGGGAAGGAATAAAGAAGGCTATATGGTATCTCGACGAAGAAAAAGAATATCAAGCTACTGAAAAAGATATCAGCAGTTAGAGATAATGGTGGTGAAGACCGATGCTTTGAAATCAGCTGTTGAAGGAATTGGTAAAGAAGCCACTTTGCAGGTCGTCCCCTAACGTCACAGAAGAGCTCAGTCCCTTGTTCCTTCTCCAACAGGCGGTGTTCCCAGCAGGGCCCCACTAGAAAGCAGGGGGGGGCAAAATCTTATCAGCAATGCTTATCATCTATCTTATCTACATCACGTGCACTGCCAAAGCACGGACTTCCCCCAGAAGCGAAGGGGGCTCCAACCCACCCTGACCCAAGCCCCAGCAAAATACAGGCGCACAAAAATTTCCGCCAGACGTCCTCAATCCAACCACAGCCAAACCATCTCGAGTTTTCGCCGACCACCCTCTCGACGACACCGCCCACCCGCTCGACAACCGCCATCATGTCTCACGAGTCTGTCTGGAACTCCCGCCCCCGCAACTACGGCAAGGGCTCCCGCTCTTGGTACGAATAAAACCCCTCCCCAAACCATTGCGAAATTCTGGATGGAGGAACGATTTGGGAAACGTCGGGATGCGCCCGCGCACACAGGAGAAGACAAGCAGAAATGCTGACATTTTCAATTTTTATAGCCGTGTCTGCAAGCACACCGCCGGTCTCATCCGCAAGTACGACCTCAACCTGTGCCGTCAGTGCTTCCGTGAGAAGGCCAAGGACATCGGCTTCAACAAGGTATGCGAAAACACACACAGACACCCCTTGGAACTTGCGAACGAACCCGGCCTGGAAACCCCTCCCCCCATACTACAACCATGATCGCTTCAATAAGGCGCAAATCGCTAACCCGATGCCGCGCTTCTACAGTACCGTTAAATTGTCCAAAACTCCGAGACGGCAAAGGATGGGAACTTGGTGAAGGTGGTTGGGCATGAGTGGCCCGTGGAAAAATGCATTCAGACAAGAGGGAAGGCTTCCAAGGGCAATTGGAGTTCTTATGGCTGGCTTAACGGAAAGTGCAAAAATCCGTCGGACGTCCAACTGAGGATAGACGAATACCACGACATTGAACCTTTTACCACCATCTAAAACGTTTGGGGCGTTACACACAGACTCAATATCAAGCCAAGAATGTGTGAGCTGAGCTGCGCGTGAAGACGGCACGACCCATCTGCAGTTCGTGAGACCGCGCAACGCCTGGATACCAAGCAGCTAGCTAGTATGGCCCTCCAAGTTCTGGGGATGTAATTGATGACTCAAGGTTTACCAAACGTTACGATGACATGTCCAGCGAACATGCACGTGTTGCATCAATATAGTCAGGCATTATCATGTGGCACAAAGCACACTTTGTTCTATTGTCCGTCGTCTTCTAAAAGTACATGATTCAAAGACAAGGGGTGAAGTAGAGCGGAGATCTTTGAGCCCAAGCCCCGACAATATACACGAGCTCGAGGGCTCAAAGCGGAAAACTTTGGGTCGGTTGTACATGAAATCGTGAAGCAATCCAACTCCTTTTTTTGTACAATCCCAATTTTTTCACCATCCGGGTTCCCATTTCATGTCGGGGAAGCTGTGTTCTGGGTGCCATTTCACCGAGTTTGGAGAAATCTTGCAGTGAGAGTCCCTTATTTCAGGATACGGGTGATGAGACCAGTGGCGACGGTGCGGCCACCCTCACGGACGTTGAAGCGCTGGCCAACCTCAACAGCAGAGGGGTGGTGCAGCTGGGCAACCATCTCGACGTTGTCACCGGGCATGACCATCTTGTTCTTGGCGTCCTCGGTGCCCTCGGGGAAGGTGAGAGTGACGGACTCGTCGGCAGTACGGAGGTACATCTGGGGCTTGTAGTTCTCGTGGAAACCGGTGTGGCGGCCACCCTCATCCTTGGACAGGACGTATAGGGAGACGAGGAAGCTGGAGTGGGCCTTGACGGTGCCAGGCTTGCAGACGACCATACCACGGCTGATATCCTCGCGCTTGATACCACGGAGGAGGAGACCGGAGTTGTCACCAGCGCGAGACTCTTCGCAAGACTTCTTGAAGGTCTCAATGTCGGTGACCTTGGACTTGATGATCTGGTCACCCTTGCCAACAATCTCGATTTCGGTATCTTTCTTCAGGAGACCACGCTCGACACGGCCGGAAACGACGGTACCACGGCCAGAAATGGAGAAGACATCCTCAACGGACATGAGGAAGGGCTTCTCGAGGTCACGGGCAGGGGTGGGGATCCACTCGTCGACGGCCTTGAGCAGCTCGTCAATCTTCTCCTGACCAATCTCGGGTCTCTGGTTCTGCATGGCCATGAGGGCGGAACCCATGATGACAGGGGTCTCGTCACCCTCGAAGCCGTAGGTGCTGAGAAGCTCACGCATCTCCATCTCGACGAGCTCCAACATCTCGGGGTCGTCAATGGCATCGACCTTGTTGACGAAGACGACAATCTTCTGGACACCGACTTGGCGGGCGAGCAGCAAGTGCTCACGGGTCTGGGGCATCTGACCGTCGGAGGCGGCGACGACGATGATGGCACCGTCCATGTTGGCGGCACCAGTAATCATGTTCTTGATGTAATCGGCGTGACCGGGGCAGTCGACGTGGGAGTAGTGGCGGTTGTCGGTTGAGTACTCGATGTGGGCAGTGGAGATGGTGATACCACGCTTGCGCTCCTCGGGAGCCTTGTCAATAGCGCCATACTCGAGGAAGTTGGCGAGGCCCTTCTCGGCCTGTCTCTTGGTGATGGCGGCAGACAGAGTGGTCTATTGAGGGTTCGGTCAGTATTCATTGCGCAATGGCACAAACCCCTCGAGTCCGAATATGTACCTTTCCGTGATCGACGTGGCCAATAGTACCTGTGAAATGATCCCCAGATTAGCTACATCTCCCAAACACTCATAGGCCGAGTTCGCATACCAATGTTGACGTGAGGCTTTGTCCGCTCGTAGACGGCGTATGTGCGGTAGACGTTGAGGATGGGGGAGACGTTCTGTCTCTTCAGAGCGGCCTGAAGGGGGCTAACGTTGCCCTGGCGCAGCGAGGCGCGCGCCGTCCGGAAGAACGGCGCGACGGATCTCAGGGAGGCGGACATTTTCGCAGGCTGTGGGTATTAAATAGTACAGTAGAAAAGAGAGAAGAAGGAACAGAGAGGGGATGGAGGATGGAATTGCTCGTTGTCGACAACGGCTTTGTGGTGATAAGGGGGGGAAGGAGGTTGATGAGGTAGATATCGTCTGATGGGAGTCGGCGTCCTCGAAATTTTTTTGCTGCCGGGACATTCCTTTTCGACCAGGAAAGACGGGGAGCTCTGCTGGAGCTCCTGCGTCCATTGGCGGGCCGGTATGTCAGTGCTCTCCCCGGCCCCACTACGCGAGCCATTCACGTCGCGTCGCCTCCCTTGAGTGCTGCTCCGGTAATGCGCGAGTGTTGACTGGCTGGGGCACAGTTTAAGTCTTGCACGTCACGCAGATGGTGGTTTTGATAGACTTTCAACAATACCGCTGGCAAGGATTCGACAGGAAAAGAGCCCCAAAGATGCAGTTGTTTTAGGAAGTTGATCCTTGTTGGCAGTCGATGGAGTTGCCGTCGATAACGGGGACTTTTCGAACGAGGACTCTTCGAACCGTTTGCCTCTGGCAGTACAAATGAGGCCCATGAACCAAACAGGCCACACATTGGAGTTCCAGCGCTAGTAAGAAGTTGTGCCAAGTTGCAAACCACTCCTCCGCTGAGATCCAAAATTGAAAGCTACCACGCTGTTGGAGATATGACGAAGAAGGCCATCCACGGATGTTGCAATTGGACTTATTGCCCCCATGATCTCTCGAATAGACACTGCTCAATGACCTCTGGGGGAACAGATCACATTCTTATCGCTCTGGTTGTCGATTTCTCACGATGGAGAGTCTGGCAGACAACTCACTCATCACCATCAGATCCCGACTCACCACCGTCACCGTCACCCTCCCCACCCCCATTCTTCCCCTCCTTCGCCTTGGCCCTCTTCCTTAGCTTCTTCAGCCTATTCAATCTTTTCTTCTTCTCCTTCAGCGCCTCCTCCTTACCCGCTTTGAATTTCTCCTCCTCCTCAATCTTCTTCTCCCTCTCCCGCCGCTTAACCCGTATCGCAAGACGCTTCTTCTTCCCAGGCCGCCTCCTCCTCGCCGCCGCAGCGTCCGCCTCCTCCTTTGTTCCTCCAGCGTTTGCTCCTGCTCTTGATTCTGCTGCCGTTTTCTCTGACGACGACACCGTGGTGCCAGGAATCGTCGTCACCCGCCAAGGCTGCTCCATCCCCCACCACCGCCGCTGCGCCCGCTCGAGAACTTCCTCGCCCGACACCGCCGAGAAAGCGAGCTCCGCCTTCACCTCGGAGGTCGGCTGCCCGGCGATGTAGTACGACAGCGGCCTCTTACGGATCATGGCTCCGTCACCCGCCATTGCGCGCTCGTCCTCGTCGACTAGCGCAATCTTTGTCGCCGGGTTTGATGTGGTGAAGAGCCGGAACTCGAACTCTTCGGGCTCGTCGTCCTTTGCCGTTTCTCCGTCCGTCGTCGTCGGTTGCTCGGTCGTTTCTGTCGGGGCCTGCTGGTCGGCGTCGCCTAGGTCGAGCATGCCCGCCATACGGGCATGCAGCTTCGCTAAGAGGTCCGCATCTTGCTGCTTGTTGTGGCCCGCTCCTTCGTCGTCGGACGACCCCTCGAGGTCTTCTCGCCGGACTCTGTTCGTGCGAGTTTGTGGTCAGCGCTGCTGCCGGCGCAGGGGTCCGCAGGAGTAGAATGCTTCCGCCTCACCTCTTCGCGTCGGGAAGCTCAAACATGGCTACGTGCTTCCAAGGAAAAGGGAGTATCCTCGGGGATTCAGGTAGGGGAGCACTGGAAAGGTGCTGTGGAGGTTGTGACGTTGTGGCGCCAGACGAGGGAATACGAAGAGTGAGCGAATTGCAATCTACACCGGCCGTGATTACGATCGCCAAGTCCCCGAGCGAAGCAGAGGGCAAAAAAAAATTGGCGAAAGAGCAACTTCGCAATGCGATCGGTGCTATGTGGAGTTCTGAGCACGGGACGGAAGGTTGCAATGTGATGGACGGCGGGCGGCTGACCGGTGGAATTTCGCCCGACCGCGGAGCCGTTCAATTGAGATTTTCGCTCGCTAAAGTGGGAGCGGCGAACCTTATCTTATCGCACCGTTGTGAGGTCCTACCACAGTGGTACCTACCTACCTAAGTACCACTTAGAGAGATGCAATGTACTGTATCCATACGAATGGGTACGGATAGCTCAACACGATTATCAGAAATGGGCTGCGTGCCGTACGCAATTTGTTCATGTACCTACGGAGGTGCGTCTTAATAGTCCTTGTAGTTGCTGCCAAGACCAACCCCTGCCATAGACAGGGGAGTCGATAAGGGGCTGGCTAGGGTGTGTACAAGCGGCAGAATTCGGCCACTTCTACCTACTATAATTATTATTAATTTAGCAGTAAAAAGTCGTTAATTGAGGTTAATTAATGGTCGTTTAACGGTATAATCTAGCCTAACGACCCTTTTTATATTTATTATTACCCTCTAGGGTAATTATCTATTAGATATGGTAAGGTACCCTTTTTATTTATTTCTAGATCTCCTTTTACAGTAATACTTTTTAGTACTCTTATTAACGACGTATTATTTCGGCCCATAATAAAGGCGCCCTTTTCCTAGTAGTCTATCTCTTTATTTACGGCTAGCAAGGTTTAATAGGATTAAGGTCGGGTAAATTACCTAGCTAAAGAAGCTTCGTAATCTCAAAAAGGCTATATATATAATAGGTAAAATAATAGTCGTAAGCGGGTACTTTATCCTTTTATATAATTAAATTATTAAGTAATCCTTTAATATAAAGGAATAATTTAAGTAATAGGATCTTTTTACGGTATTTATATTAATTAATTCCGCCTTTACCGTTCTATATTAACTTGCCTAACTTTGTATTCTAATTGAATTAAGGTTTACGGCCCAGTTAGTTCTATAAGCCCATTTACTCTATATTACTCTCGAGCTCCCACTATTAATATTGAACGGGCTCGAGCTCTACATTAAGCTCGATAATCACTATATCAGCAGCCTTCCTCTTAGTAGCAGTCTCGGGAATCCAATAGTAGCACGGCCTTTTTAAATCGTATAAGAAAGACCCCTAAAATATGAATTTAGAATAACCCTTCCACCTCTCTCATATATACTACTTAAAATAAGCCTTATCTAAGCGACGCTAAAGTTTATAATTACTGCAACGGTAGTTGAGGGTAATTACGGTCTTGTCTGACTATATAACCCGCTTCTAATTATTAAGGGTCCAATATTAATAATTAAAGTACTACTTAAGTCGCTTTTACCATATCCTTTTTATTAAGCCTAGTTTATAGGTTAGTTTAATTTTATAGAAGCTATAACGACAAAGGATTTACTAAATAATTATTATAAATATATTAATACCCTCGTCCCTTAATAAGTCCCTAATAATATTAATATAGTTCTTTTTATACCTATACCGGTTACGGTAGATTTTACAGATAACGGTATCATTAACCTTTTTTATCTATTTGGTTAAACGGCCATTTTAGGGGGTATTTTTGTAATAGGCGGGCTTAATCGAGAAGGTAAGAGTAGTTAGGTTAAATCCGTTCTTTTTTATATAGGTAAGAACGTTATAAATAATTCAAACTAGAATTTCTAAAGCCTGAGAGACCTATTCAATAATTTACCTAATAAGTCGATTTTATAAAATAAAAATTATTGCCTTAACGCCTGGATCTAGCTTCTTCTTTATTAGTATTTTAAGATCTATATTAAAGAAAAAAGAGTAGCGTAGTAAGTAGCGATTTAATAGTTTTAATATTATTATAGGATTAGTAGTAGTATTATAATAGCGGTATATAGGGTAAAATCGTTGCTATGGGTAGTGCTAGGGGGAAAGTAAGTAAAGTAGGTCAAGATTAATCCCTAGGCTCTTATTAGTTCAGATGGGCAGTAATTGTGGGTCTGGGGCTTGGCAGCGACTGCAAGGACTATTGAGACGCACCTCCGTACAAGCGAGTATGAAATCGGAGTATCCGTACATACCTCACGTCTGAAATCTTGAAAGGGATGCTCATGCAAGCGGGTGGTATTTTTGCTTTACGGCCGAAGATCAGAGATGAACGTTGCATCGTTAGGTACTACCAATCGGGTTCTCAGGAATATCAAGCAACTGCCGTCGCCGTCGCCTCTTTACGTTGGAGTCAAGGAAGCTCCTCAAATCCGCTACTAGATAGTTGAGTAGGCAAGTAGGTAGATCACGGATACCACAACTCTTCCTCCCTTTATCAATGACAAGTTGTTGAACTGGCCATCCTCTGAAAACAACTCCAATTCAAGTGTCTCTCTGGACTTCACACCGTGCAGACTCCACGCAATCTGCACCCAATACCTGCGTCAAAACATACTCCGTACACCTCTTCCCAAAGTTCCCACGTTCCTATCCCCCCCATCCCAAACGTCTGTCTGACCTCTATTAATACCCTCCTCAATCCAAAACATGACAGCCCGCTCACCCACTCGACGGCATCGAACTTCCTGCCCAGAGTCCGCCGTCAGCTCGTCAAACCACACCCCGGCAAGCCACCGAACAAGGAGGTGTGGAGTTTTTGGTAGGTATCCTTACGAACACACCTCGACACCGTGGGAGCAAGAAAAGTGACAGTCGGAAACATAACGTGGGAAGCAAGGGGTGGAGGGGAGGGCACCAAGGTGCAAAAGACGGGCCGCCGGGGTTCAAATAACGTGGGAAAGTAAACGCGCCAGCGGAGCCCTTTCTTCCCTCCTCCCCTCTCTTTTCGTACCTAAGTATCCGTATCCGTCTTCGTTAACCAAACCTCATCTCTCTGAGGGAAGGGGGGCGGGTTTGGTCCGCCTTCTTTGAGAAGGATCATCGTCATTCCTACCGGCTGCTCGGGTCCCCCTCATCCCTCATCCCCCCTCTCCCCTCCCCCTCATCCAAGTTCCCGCGCACGCGTGTCATGGTATCCGTACATTCTGCCCAGCAGTTTCCATCCAAACCACTCCAAACTCAGCAACTACGCATGCCACGGCATCTTATATCCTTCGAGCCTGATTGATATCGCTCAGCCAAGGGGGTACAGGTACACTGTGGTACGGAAGACGGATGCTCTACTGGCGTACAACCGTCTCCTTGCGCCGCATCCGCACATACATACATGCATGCATGAAACGGCACACACGCACACGACGAGCCAAATCCCACTCACAGCGGTAGTGGCATTGATGCAGTGGCAGCATCCTCCAGCAAGAGGCCCGAACCGGGCATCACCCGCGTTCGCCCTGCGTGGCAGCGTGGGTTACGTGGGTTGCGTAAGTGTAATGTAAGATACCTAACCTACCAAGGTATGCGGCGTATCACAGCGTTAGTAGGTGGTGGGCTAACATCAAGAATACGACTCCAACGTCCAAAAATCGATCCAACAACCATCTCCCGTGCCTCTCTCTCTCTCTCTCTCTTACCCGCCAAAAGTATCCTCTTCACTTCCCTCTCTCTCAAAGCGGATAGTCTTTGTGGATTTTCATCACGAAGGATTCTGGAGCTAAAGGGTGAAAGTGACAGAAATTACACCATTCGTATTCTTCCTTCCTCTACGGAGTTACCCAGACTCCTCTCCCTTTCTTTCTATCTGTCTCTCCGTTTGTCTCTCCTTCGCCAAGCCTCGCCATGCTCATCATGAGAAAGAGCGTACCCGTTATTATGCCGTAGAACATGCAGACAGACGAACAAAAAAAAGAAAAAAAAAGGGCAAGAGACCAGAGAGCAACCTGAGCACAGGACAGGACAGGTCCGTCTTCCGCTCAAGCGCACCCGTTCCGCGCGCTGTGTTGCGAGCCTACCTACCGCGGGCGCCAACGCAGCACTAGACCCCCCCTCCCCCCATCGCACTATTGACATCACAAATTCCCAGCTGAGCGGACCCTGCCGCAGTGGCCCGCACCTTTAGCCTCGTGCGCAAACGCCGCAACGCAAAGCAAGGTGTGATCGTGACTGCGACCACGTCAGGTAACTTCGTCCACTTCGTACGTGTGTGTGAGTGGGACGTGGGATCGTAGAAACGCCCCAACGGTGGCAGTGGTGGTGGTGGTGGTGGTGGTGGTGGCAGTAATCTCCCTCACAGAAATATGAAAAGAGATGGTCAGACACCCTCACCTCACCTTAACCTACATCAGGTAAATGTTGGGAAGGGGGGTGGAGAGGTCCAAGGTCCCCAATCCAACCAACCTAGGTCGGTGGCTTATTTCCATGTTTGTATACGCACCAACAGTCGTAGACCAAACAACATAAATGACCCGCGTGCCCGGTGCCCGTATCCGCCCACCTACTCATCATGCTGAACAACCAAACTGATTTCTATACGAGCTCTGGGGTCTCCTCCATTCGGACGACGGACCTCGACGGGAGAAAGAAGAATCAATGTGGATTTTTGGGGCTGGAATGGATGCTTATTCATTGCCTATTTGCTTGCTTGCGCATTTTCTGGCCTTTTTTCTCGCCTCTTGCACTCTCTCTCTCTCTTATACTATCCCTTCTCTTTCTGTCTCCCTTCCTTATCCTCATTCTCTAGCAAACCAAAACACAAAAAACCTTCATCAAGAGTCCGAGAAACCACGCACAGAAGGAACGCCACCACGTTGGGTGGACGTCCAGCCAACCAGCACTCAACCGCCATCCGTTCCCACACCGCCGGTGCCTTCCCATGCCAGGACCCAACCGTTTGGATCCGCCCCGGGTGAATCAGACG